AGGATTTCAAAGCTGTGAAACTCTGCCTCTTTCCGCCTTTCCTTTGGTTGTTTAAAATGACAACATAGCATCAGCTGATCATTACTTAAGAATCTATTCTATTTTTTCAACACAACATCTTCTCCATGCGTCTTGGTTCTTACTCCTAACTTTTTTGTTTATCAAGAAACTAAACAGCGGAATTTTTGCTGATTGTATTTAAACCTTGTTCCATCTTTTGATTATATTGCATTCCAATTATTGTCACGTGGGAGAAGATATAATAAATAAAAATGTATGGACAACACATTAACTTATCACATTTATAACCACATGGAAATGTTGATGTTTTGTGTGTGGTGAGTTCAGGGCGATGTAATGTGAATAATGAAATGACACATTTTAAACAAGAAATCTTCCATTTTATTTTTTTACATTTACTTGTTGAATGGTAAATGTTTTAAACTGATATCCTACGTAATAGTAACACTTTAAGGAAACAATATACAAAATGATTAGTATTTGACGATTATTTGTGAATCTGAAGAAAGTAATTTAAAATTTGCAAACGTATAGAGTTTCCTGAACTAAGGCAGTTCACCAGACAGCAAATCGCCATTCGTCTGTTCATGACATATTTACTGAGTGCTATCATATGCTTTAAACTAAAATAATCTACTTCATTTGATACACCACGTAAATCCAGCTAAAACATTTAAATTATGCGGAGGGGAAGCTAGTATCTTTTTGAGAGAATGTAAGAGCTACTTTTTCATCTCAAATCCTAATTTATCAGGATAAACTGAAGTTGGGATCAGACTTAGTCAGTTTAGTTGCTAGTTTCAAGTAGTGCAATATTTTGGTTTGCAGGTAGTGGCTACTGTACAACAGGAATGAAAACTTTCAACACAAATTTCTTTGTCCAAGTGTGTGAATCACATGGAATCTGAGTTAGTCATTTAGCTCAGCTTGGCCTTTTTCTCTTTTGAGTACGTTGTTTTTGAAATTCGAAACTTGTAGCACAATTCATTTAAATCATTGAAAGATATAAATATTTCATAAATTCAGTGTAGGGGCTGAAAAGGAAAACTAATAATTTACGGTGGTTTTATTCCATAGAACAAATCATAATTTCAGTGGTAATAAATCTTAAATAGGATTCATCAGGATCCAATATGTTTGGTACAGAAATTCTGCTCAGAGATGTTACCTGTAAAATATACAAAACATCTCTTTTATCTTGGTGTTTCATTCCAGAAAACATAACAGACACTGATTGGTACTTTCAGTGGAAACCTTCCTCCAATATTGTCATGGGTGAGACATTTCATATTCATTTACATTTGTACTGGTATAATTTTCCTGTTGTGCATTCATTACCTGCACACACTCCCATTAATTTTGCTGTGAACAGCATGCAGCAGACTGTGTCAACATTTTTATCTAAGCCTGAAATGAAGCAAAATGGACAATTTATCAGATTTATACCACTATAGTAGCTAATTAAAAACAAATGTTCCTAGTTAGACAAGGACTGATTGCTACTGGCTGCAGATCTACAAAACCACATATAATTCTTTTCTGTTGCAAATTGAATTTTCTAGAAACTTATAAATCTGTCTGATTGAGTTACTTGAGGAAATAAAAAGGTTACAGCATTGGCCCATGCATGGTACCAAAAGCATGAAAATGGGCAATGGTTAATACTTTAATCTTCAAAGCTTTGGTGACCTAAGAGTAAAAATCCTCCACTGACACTGTAGGGACAGTTGGTGCAAATCTACTTAGTTTAGTTACAAACTGAAGAATGTTGAGGAGGAGAATAACCATGAATGATGCAGCAGAACTTTTCAGCACTGCACATTTTGCTGAAGCAAGGTCCAATCTTGTCCTTAGTGTTTTTTGTGTGTTTCAATTGTGTGAAAATGATCTGACATCTCTAATGGAACATCTGGATCACTTGGGTGCTTCCTATCCTTACTCTGCTCACTCTTTGCTCTTGTCCATGAAGGAGATTTTAAATGTGTTCCACATGAGATGATTGGATACATCAATGGTTGGCTCAGTTCTACAAAATAAAATGTCAATAATTAGGGGATGCATCTTAATAGACTTGAACATTCCCCTTATGTAAAATTTATCTTGATACCTTGATCACATGAGTGTTTTATTTCCTGATTTTTTTCCCCTCTGAAAAGAATTTAAAAGGTTTTTGGTTTTTTTTGGATACATGCAAAAATTCATCAAGGCTCCCTAGAATGCACCTTCCAAACGCTCAGCCACTTCCATCGAGAAGGACAAGAGCAGCAGATACATGGGAATCCCATCACCTGCAAGTTCCTCTCCAAGCCAGCCACTATGCTGACTTGGAAATATATCACCATTCCTTCAGTATTGCTGAGTCAAGATCCTTAACAGTACTGTCGGTATATCTACACATAATCGACTGCAGTGGTTCAAGAAGGCAGCTCACTACCACTTTCTCAACGGCCACTGTAAGCAGATCTGGGCACATACCTTAGGAAGGATATGTTGGCCAGGGAGGGAAAACAATGTACATTTACAAGAATGACAACTGGACTTCAGGGGATAAATTATCAGGAGAGATCATACAAATTTGACCTGTCATCTCTGGAATTTAGAAGATTGATGGGTGTTCTGATCAAAGTCTTCAAGATATTAACAGGAAAATATAGGTTGGATAAAGATACGCTATTTCTATTGGTTGTGGATTGTAGAACTAGAGGGCATAGTTGGAGGATTAGGGCCAGACTGTTCAGGAGTGACGTTAAGAAGAACTTCTACAGACAAAGGATTGTAGATTTTTTTGGAACTCCATAAAAGGCAGTGGATGCAGGATCAGTTGTTAATTTTAAGTCTGACATAGAAACACTTGTTAAGCAAAGGTTTTAAGGAATATGGGCCAATAGCAGGTATATGCAGTCAAACCAGAGATCAGTAATGGCTTGAAGGGATGAATGGCCTTCTCCAGTCCGTATGTACTCAGCTCTCACTCTTCAAATATACACTCAGTTTGCCCAATCTCTTCTGGGACAGTCCCACCATCCCAAACAAGTCACCTGAAAATGACTTTCACGTAAAAAATTTGGATTGCCGTTGATTGCGGAATGATGATAAATCTTCAGACACAATTTCAAATTCAGAGAAGAAACAGTTAAGAGTTCCAATATTTAAAACTTTATCAATGTGTTTCACACTAATTCATGAGAGAGATATAGAAGGTGCTGCTTTCAGCTCCAGGCACTTGACTCTTATGGACTGATGAGAGTCAGCACCACATCCTTGCAAACTTCTTCAGCAAGTGCCCCCAGCCTCTAGGTGCATACTGAGAAAAATGACCCATTATCTCAGTATAAGGGCTAGTGCTGGGTGACTGCAGCATCAATCCAGATAGGCTTTTCAAATCTGTTTGTTCAACAATTAAAACATTTAAACTCTACCCTTGTGTTTATCTCAAATTTTGCTCATCACTTATTTTTGTAAGCAGCAAACAGGCCTTAGCAACACCGTAATGTTCAACTGCCTGTTTTCAAATTTTCATAATCCAAATATGTATGCATACTAATGCAAAATTAATAAATGGCATGATCATAAAGTGAATGTTGCAAATTATTCCAAATGAAGAATTAATCAAACAGTGAGCTACTTTTAAAATATATATTTTAGTTAATCCTCATTAAAAATCCATAGCGTGTGTAACTTAATAACAACTTGAATTTTTACGGTATAAGAATAGGCTATTCAGTGAGCAATATTATTGAGTGATCATTCAATGCCTTTATATCCCTGTATCCCTCAACATCTTCGGAATGATCTCTACTCAGTGACAGGCTTTCAGAGCCCTATATGGCAGAGAATTTCAAAGATTCCAAAGCCACTGAGTAATCTTGGTCCTACATGGTGACCCCTTATTTTGAAATGGTACCAGGGGAAATGTCTTACCTGAATCTACTTTGTCTATACCTTTAAGTATTTTGTAACTTTTGTGAGATTAACTCTCAGTCTTCAAAACTCTGCAGAACACAGGCCCAATTTGCCCAATCTGTGCTCCCAGGACTATCCATTCATCCTAGGAACAAGTCTGGTAAATGTTTATCACACTCCCTCTAAGGCAATAACATCCTTAATTCAAGGGGACCAAAGCTACATGGAATGTTACAGATGTGGTCTAACCAAGATTCTATGCAAGCGAAGCAAGATCTCACTACTCCTGTGCTCAAATCATTTTGTGATAAAGGCTAACATTCCATTATCCTCCTTAATTGCTTGCTGCATATGAGCGTTAGTCTTCAGTGACTTATTAACAATGGCATCCAAGTCCCTTTGTACTTGTACTCTTTCGAATTTCTTACCATTTAAGTCACACTCTGTACATCTGTTTCTTCTACCAAAATGGAAAACATCACATTTTTTCCACATTTTATTCCATTGGACCAGTCATTTCACATGACTGTTTATTGAATGGTTTGAAGCTGACTCCACATTTGTAACAATTACTTCCTTACAGCATATGTGGTATTTGACACAGTTAGCATCTGAGTTTCAAACAGCCAGCGTAGACACGGCTGTCTCAGTGAACAACTTCTGTGCAGTAGCCATGCTATGGGAACTCTGCCACTAGAATGGCGGAGGCCAAAAAACCTATAGGTCTGTGAGTATGACTTTGGTTGTGGGTAAATTGTTGGAGGTGATTATAAGAGCTAGGATTTTTGGACATTTGGAGAAGCAAAAATTGATTAGGGATATTCAGCACGGTTTTGTGCGAGGAAAATCATGTCTCACAAACTTGATTGAGTTTTTTGAGGAAGTTACCAAAAAGGTTGACGATGGCAGAGCAGTAGACATTGTTTATTTGGATTTTGGTAAAGCCTTTGACAGGATTTCACCTGGTGGACTAAATAGTAAAGTTAGATCACATGGGATTCGGTGTGAGCTTGCCAATTGGATACTTAATTGGCTTAACGGCAGGAGACAGAGGTGGAGGGTTGCTTTTCAGACTGTAGACCTTTGACCAGCGGTGTTCCACAGGGATTGGTTCTGGATCGTCTTTTGTTTGTCATTTATATATATATAATTTGGATGTGAATATAGAAGGCACTGTTAGTCAGTTTGTGGATGACACCAAAATTGATGGCATTGTAGACAGTGAAGAAGGTTTTCTAAGATTACAGAGGGATCTTGATCAAATGGGTCAATGGGCTGAAAAATGGCAGATGGAATTCAATCTGGATAAATGCAAAGTATTACATTTTGGTACAACAAACAAGGGTAGGGCTTATACGGTTAATGGTAGGGTCCTTGGTAGTGTTGTAGAACAAAGGGACCTATGGGGGTACAGATACACAATTCTTTAAAGTTTGCATCACATATAGACAGGATGGCTAAAAAAGTGTTTGGTTTGCTTGCCTTCATTGCTCAGTCCTTTAAGTATAGGAGTTGGGACATTATGTTGATGTTGTATAGGACATTGGTGAGGCCTCTTCTGAAATACTGTATCCAGTTCTGGTTGCCTAGTTATAGGAAGGATATTATCAAGCTGGAGAGGGTTCAGAAGAGATTTATCAGGACGTTGATGGGTATGGAAGGTTTGAGTTGTAAGGAAAAGGTCTGGAAAGTCTGGGACTTTCTTCACTGTGAGAGGTATAGATAGCATTGATGGTAGTTGTCTTTACCCTAACATGGGGAATTTCAAGACTAGGGGGCACATTTTTAAGGTGAGAGGACAGAGATTTAAAAAGACATAAGAAACAAGTTATTTTTTACACAGAGAGTGATTCGCATATTGAATGAACTTCCTGATGAAGTGGTGAATGCAGGTACAATTACAACATTTAAAAGACATTTGGATGGATAAATAAATAGGAAAGGTTTGGAGGAATACGGGCCAGGAACAGACAGTTGGGACTAGTTTAGTTTGGGATTCTGTTTTGCATGGACTGGTTGGACCAAAGGGTCTGTTTCAGTTCTGTATGACTCTTAAGACTCTATTTCCAGGATTAGCATTCGATGGAAATAAATTTGCATGGTTCTGGGGATCAAGTGAGGAAATGGAACCCACTGGATTTCTCTCTGGGAACCACGTGGACTGGATAGGCATATTTCTTGGTGGTGTAAATGACTCTGTGACTCCATAAGAAAGGAAGCTGGCCAGCAGAGTTTTGGTCTAGTAACAGTAACAAAAATATGAACAAAGTTTTCAGCCTTAAGAATAGAACAAAATCATAATATTCTGGTATATAATCTGGCAGTTACCTTATTTTTCTTCCATTTTGAGGTTCAACCTTACATAACCGAATAAGTATTGAAAATAAAACTTCTGCTTAGCTAATGACTAAGAACTGCATAGAGGGAAGAAATGTGATAACGGGGCATGAGAGATGAGGTACAGGAGTGGAACTAGGTTAGGTTAAGCACTAGTAAAGAGCAGCCTGACCAAACGGTTTAATTCTGTGCTGTTGCTTCTCCTGAATATTTCCTTCAAGTTTTAATTTCTGACGTGTTTCTAACGGTATGGTCACAGACTGGGTCAGTTAAATCCTTAAAATAAGCTTTCTTTTAGTTTTAATCTCATCCATTTACCTCAAGGTCCACTGCTTTTGTCATTTGTAGAAACGATTTGGATGTGAACATAGGAGGTATGGTTAGTAAGTTTGCAGATGACACTAAAGTTGGAGATGTAGTGGACAGCGAAGAATGTTACCTCAGAGTACAACGGGATCTTGATCAGATGGACCAATGGGCTGAGGAGTGGCAGATGGGGAGTTTAATTTAGTTAAATGTGAGGTGCTGCATTTTGGAAAGGTAAATCAGGGCATGACTTATACACTTAATGGTAAGATTCTGGGGTGTGTTGCTGAACAAAGAGATCTTGGAGTGCAGGGTCATAGTTCCTTGAAAGTGGAGTCACAGGTAGACAGGGTAGTGAAGAAGACGTTGGTATACTTGCCTTCTTTGGTCAGTGTATTGAGTATAGGAGTTGGGAGGTCAGGTTGCAGCTGTACAGGACATCGGTTAGGCCATGTTTGGAGTATTGTGTGCAGTTCTGGTCTCCCTCCTATAGGAAGGATGTTGTAAAACTAGAAAGGATTCAGGAAAGATGTACGAGTATGTTGTCAGGGTTGTAGGGTTTGAGCTATAGGGAGAGGCTGAATAGGCTTGGGCTATTTTCTCTGGAACATTGGAGGCGGAGGGGTGACCTTATAGAGTGTTATAAAATCCTGAGGGGCATGGATAGGGAAAATAGACAAGGTCTTTTCCCCAGGGTTGGAGAGTTCAAAACTAGAGGGCATAGATTTAAGGTGACAGGATAAAGATATTAAAGGGACTTAAGCGGCAATGTTTTCATGCAGAAGGTAGTGCGTGTGTGGAATGTACTGCCAGAGGCTGGTACGATTACAACATTTAAAAGGGATCTGGATGGGTATATGAATGGAAAGGGTTCAGAGGGGTATGGGCCAAATGCTAGCAAATGGGACTAGATTTATACAGGATACCTGATTGGCATGGATCAGTTGGACTGACGGGTCTGTTTCATGCTATATATCTCTGTGACTCTAAATCATTGCTTTTGAGTTTTAGTCTTCATATAAATGTAGTTATAATTTCAGTTCTGTCTCAGAATGGAGTAGTGCTGAGTGGGGCTAGACAGTTCAACATGTACTTACTGACACTAACCTGTAGATGAATCACGTGATGGATTCTCGTCATCAGAATCGGCAAACACCTCTGCAAGTTCCTGATCAGACATGTCTGTGAGTTCAGTCAGATCCATGAGGTCGAAGTGTACCTCAAGAGATGAGACACTGCTGAGAGGCTCTGTGAATAAACAAATTAGAATTGTATGCAAATATGCAAAAAATGTACTTTGGTAGTAAGTTCGCAGATGACACCAAAGTTGGAGATGTAGTGGACAGTGAAGAACGTTACCTCAGAGTACAACGGGATGTTGATCAGATGGGCCAATGGGCTGAGGATTGGCAGATGGAGTTTAATTTAGATAAATGTGAGATGCAGCATTTTGGAAAAGCAAATCAGGGCATGACTTATACACTTAACAGAGGACCAGCATACTGCTGCCCAATCTATGAAACATTGCTATATAAAACATAGATTTATCATTGCTCACCGTTGAATTCTGTGCAGATTGAAAAGATGTCATAGAACTATGATTGACAATAGACATTGCTCATTTTTGTCATTATCTTGTGTGTTCCACCCACCTATTTGTGGTGTGCGCTGCACTTCTCTGTGATGGGAGACAGGGATGGTGAAATCTATCTTATTGCAGCTAAATTGTGTTAACCTACGTGTCAGGGGGCAGAGATGTGATCTATATTGGGTAGTTCCACATCTGCAGGATAATTGCAGCATCTCAGGCTAATTCCCAAAACGATTCATAGAAGTGCATGCAACTGTTTCCCTTCCAACTGCAGTTCCTCTCACTGTTATTCACTGTGAAGTACCAGTGGGATGCAGTATGCCCTATACCTGAGAGTGAATTGGCTCTCACACGCTCTACTACATGATAGTTGTCAGGATCTGCTCCTACACCACTATCTCCTCTATCTTGTCATGCCTTGTTCTCAGCCCTTCACATATTTTATACACCGCCTCTTGATTTGAAGGCAGATGTGGTACAAAAGGTGCAGACGTATTCATGGGATTTTGTCTGTGAAAGTGCAACTCCACGGAATATTGGCTACATCAATGTTTTCATAGTGTTGATGGGTGCTGGACAAGGGGTTTAACTGAATGTAGCAGTATCTGTGTTGCTAGGTTCTGGATAGTATGTCTCTCAGCTCCTGTAAAAGGATAGTGTGACTCTTATGGAAGAACTAGCCAGTCTGATGTTGTCTTTCCTGTGCCATTATCAGAAACCACTTCTGGTGAATGCACATTGAATCCCCATTCTCTCAGATTGGAAAAGGGATCAGCAACACCTCCCTTCACATCAGACTTGACTATTTAACAAATACTTTTTACCAATGTTTGTTAAAGAAGAGGAGACTGTTGTAGAGGGGAAGATGATAAAATTATCGCATCAGGTGAAAATCCATAGGAAGTATGTAGTTGGACAGCTCACAACACTTAAACTGGTTAGGGTGTCTGGTTTAAGGTGGGCTTCACCCAGATTGCTGAAGAAAAACAAAGGAAGAGTTTGAATAATCTTCTAATCTTCTCCAGACATAGGAGAGCACCCACAGCATCAAAGAGTGACAGATAAGACACCCTTATTCAAGAAAGGTCAGAGGGACATTCCTAGTAACGACAGGCTTGTCAGTTTTATATTAGTGGGTAAGATTTTAGAAACAATAAAAAGGGAAAAAGACAACAGGCATTTGGAGGGAATGAGTTAAATAGATTAAGGCAGCATAGATTTGAGAAAAGCAAATCACGCTCAACTAATCTAACTTTTTGTGAAGTGACAGAGAACTTTAAAAAATGGAATGCAATGACTGTTATCTATTTGAATCTTAAGAAAGTGATTTTTAAAGTAACATATATTGTTAACCACATTAAAGGCTGGTTAACAATATTGAGACCTCATGGAATAGGAGGATCAGTGTTGGTTGAATGAAAGATTTAGCTTATGGACAGAATACATGTCAATGGAAATGGTAACTTTTAAGAGTGACAGATACTTACATTCCCTAAGGCTGCGATCAATACTTTTTGACATTATTATGGTTATTAGTATAAAGTAAAATTCCAAAATTTGCCAACAATACCAAACTTTTGAGGTGTAACAAATAAGGAGAATGATATAAATCAACTGCAAAAGGACAAAGATAAACTAGGGTTAGTAGGAACTGCAGATGCTGGAGAATCCGAGACAACAAGGTGCAGGGCTGGATGAACACAGCAGGCCAAGCAGCATCATAGGAGCAGAGAGGCTTGGGTAATTGGCAGACAAGTGGAAATGGAATTTAACATAGAGAATGTGAAGGTGATGCATTTTCCAGGGCCGATAGGAAGAGGAATAGATTTAATGGCACAATTCTAAAGAGTGAAGAGGGACGTATGGATCTGGGGATTCATGTGCATAGATCTAAGAAGGTGCAGGACATATTAAGAGTTATTAACAAAGAATATTGGACTTCGGGCTTCATGAATGAAGGTATTGAATAGAAAAATCATGCAAAGTTCCGGTCAGACCAAAGAAAGTGCTGTTTCACTGCATTGTAGGGAGGGTGTGAAGGTCCTTGAGATGATCAAGAGAAAATTTATGAGAATGGTTTCAAGGATGATGTTGCCAGGATTGGAGGGTTTGAGCTATAGGGAGAGGCTGAATTGGCTAGGGCTATTTTCCCTGGACTGCCAGAGGCTGACTGGTAACCTTATAGAGGTTTATAAAATCATGAGGGGCATAGATAGGGAAAATAGACAAGATCTTTTCCCTGGTGTGGGGGAGTCCAACACTAGAGGGCATAGGTTTAAGGTGAGAGGAAAAAGATTTAAACTCTATGACTCTTTCAGGGCTATTAGCTCCAGTTAAATTAAAGAAATTAGAATTTCTCTCATCGAGAAAAAGGAGATTGTAAAGATATTTGATAGACTGTGCAACAGTTTTACAGGTCTCAATAAAGTAGACAAAATAAAGCTGTTCCCATTTGCTGATACACAGATTAAGAAACACAGATTAAAGGTTTTGTACAACAGATGCAGTGGGGAATAGTAGAAAGATTTTCTTCCATAGTGATTGATAATGATCTCAAACTCCACAGCTATTCAACATTCCAAAGAAAAATGTAATAAATAAGAAGAAATAAACTTGCAGGGCTATGGGAACAGAACAGAGGAATCAGACTGACTGCTCTACTATACAGAAAGCCAGCATGGACCTCATAGGCAAACTTTACTCATTCTGTGTCAATAGATGTGAAGCTGGAAAAGCACAGCAGGTTAGGCATCCAAACAGCAGGAGAGTCAACATCTCAGGCCAAAACCTTTTGTCAGGACTGGGGAGGGGAAAAGGAGCCCAGACATAAATGGAGGGAATGGTGTTGGGCTAGGGGAAGGGTAGGTGCATTGGTGATAGGTGGATGCAGGTAGGATGTTATCATGATTGGTCAGTGGGAAGGGTGGAGCGAATAGGTCCGTAGGAAGATGGACAGGTTAGGTCAGGTCAGGGAGGCAAGGAGGAGGGGGAAGGCTAGACATGGGATAAGGCTGGCAGTGGAGGGATTTTGAAGCTGGTGAAGTCAATATTCAGGCCAAAAGGCAAAATATCAGATGTAGTTCCTCCAGTTTACGTTTGGCCTCACTCTGATAGTGGAGGAGGCCAAGGATGGACATGTCGTCAGGGGAATGGGAGGGGAAATTAAAACAGACGGCAACCAGAAGGTCAGGTTGGTTGTTGAGTGCAGAGCGCAGACGCTCTGTGAACTGGTCCCCGAGTCTGCATTTTGTCTCCCTGATATACAGGAGATCACATTGGGAGCAACAGATACAACAGATCAAGTTGGATGAAGTGCAGGTGAATCTCTGCCGGATCTGGAAGGATTGTTTGGGGCTTTGCACCTCTTGTGGTTGCAGGGAAAGGTATCGGGTGTGATGGAGAAGTTTGTGGGGAGTATTGAGCTGACGAGGGTGTCGCGGAATGAACGATGCCCGCGAAAAGTGGTCGGGGTGGGGAGGGAAGTATCTTTTTGGTGAGATAGATAGGTTAGGAATTTCACCATAGCTGGTATCTCTCATGGTCATCATTAGACTCTTTCATTTCATATATTTATCGAATTCAAATTCCACCATCTGCTGTGGCAGGATTAGAACCTGGGTCCCCAAAACATTATTGAGAGTCTCTGGGTTAACAGTCCAGCAATAATACTGGAGGAATAACACCTGATATTTTGCCTTGGGAGCTTATAGCCCAATGGCCCAGCCCCACCCCTCTCCTTATATTTACTTCTGGGCTCCCCTCCCCTCCCCGCCCCCTCCCCAGTCCTGACGAAGGATTTCAGCCCGAAATGTTGACTTTCCTGCTCCTCTGATGCTGCCTGGCCTTCTGTGCTTTTCCAGCTTCACATCTATTGACTCTGGCTTCTAGCATCTGCAGTGCTTACTGTCTCCTTTACTCATTCTGTGCCAGGATTACTGTATGATTTAAATTTCTGTATTAAATTGAGATAAGAGATGGACACGAATTGAAAATTGGGAAATTAGTACCAAAATAGAAGTGTGACCTGAGTACTGCTAAACTATAAACAAGCTATATTTACAAACACGAAATACAAGGGACAGAATAATAAGAATTAAAAGAACAATAGCAGCACTGATGGGCAAGTGGGTAAGTGATATGAAAGACAGAAGCTGTGAATGATTGTTTTTAAAACGAGATGAAGGTACAAGGTATCCCACTGGTTGGTGTTAGGACTGTAAGTTTTCTTGATATATTACAAAGTCCTAGATTTGGGTGTGCATTTCAAAGTTTGTGGATGACACAAAATTTGAAAATATTGTGGGCTGCAAGAAGGATAGTAATAGACTTCAAGCGTGCACAGACAGGGAAATGGCAGACGAAATTTAATACAGAGAACAGCAAATGACACATTTTGATAGGAAGAATGAGGAAGTGCGATATAAATTAAAGGATACAATTCGAAGTCAAATGCAGGAGCACAGGAACTTGCGCAAATTGTATAAATCGCTAAAGGAGGCACAACAGATTGAGAAAGCTGCTAATAAGACAAACAAGATCCTGAGCTTTAGAATTAGGGATGTAGGCCCAGATTTTTGCCATGACAATGAGTATCTCCCCTGCGGCAATAACAGAGGATGTCTGGAATCCTAAATTATACCCTCAAACCAGACATTTCCCATCAGGAGGTGTGATGGGATTGGGGTGATCCATAGTTTACACATGTATGTTTTGTGATGGTTAGCCCAGTTAAGAACAAGTCTGTTCTCAGTGCATTTTCTTTTGATAGCCAGGGTATCCCTTTGGAAAGCTGAGATATCTCTGTGGAAGTCCTAGGTCACCTTGGAGAACTGGTCAGGTATTGTCACATGCCCTTTGTGTGTAAAAGGTACACAAACCCCTTGACCTGTCCAACTTGTCAAGATGTCAAAATATTTTTATGAATGAGAGTGCTTTTATCAATACAGTGTAATCTGTAATAAAGAACTTTTAGCAATTTCTCCTGCGTGTTTGTTACTTGGGGATTCTGGGTGAGTTGGGATAGGTGAAGGGGGCAAGGGTATTGGAGTGGTAGTGGGCATAGGGGTAAGAGGGTTGGTGGTGATGGATGGAGGTCATTAGGTGGTATGGTTTGGTATGGATGTGGTGGTGAGTAGGACTGCAAGAATGTTTTATATTGTTTTATTTTAATTTCTGGACACAAAGCCAGAGAGCCCCAAGCAGATTTCCCTTCTTGCGAACTGGCAGCCTCCTCAGCTTTTTCCAGGTCACCTGGCCCGATTCCCAAGCCAGTTTGCAGCCCACTTCCCGACAATGCCGGGAAAAACCAGTAAAAGCACAGTAACACTTTGAAATGAACATTTCACTTGTAATGGAGCACTGTTCTGAGGGATATAAAACAAGTACAGAATGCGGCATAGTTTCACAAGTTTTATTGGCTTTTCCCTTTGGGTGGGAAGTGTGGGCAGACATTTTAAAAGTTCACATTTATAAAGCTAGGTTTCTCTTGACCCGTGCACAATCAGAAAATGAAAATTGGGTCATGTAGAGTTAAAAAAAGTAAGATGATACAATGACAGAAAACACTGGATCCCTCTTTCCTGGAGTTCTGTGCTGACTTTTGGGAGCACATTTTAGGAAGAATGTGAGCCATTATAGAGGGTGAAGAAAATATTCTCAGGAATGGTTCTGGGAATGGGAAACTTCAGCCATTAGATGAGATAACAGAAGTTGAGCTCTTCTCATCGAAGAAAAGAAGATTACGAGGAGATTTGACAGAGGTACTCATAGTGATGACAGACATGGAGTAGCAGTTCCCATTGGCAGAATGATCCTAAATCAGCAGGCAATGATTTAAAGTGATTGGCAAAAGTAGTAATGGCGACATAAGGAAAATGTTTTGTTACACAGCAAGTGTTTAGAACCTGGAATGCACTGCTTGAGGGTATGGAGAAGGCATATCGCCTTCAAAATAGAACTGGGAAGTTATCTGAAGAGAAAATAAAATTGCAGGGGAAAATGTCACGGCAGTGAGCCAAACTGGGTTGGTTTACAGAGAGCTAGCACACATACTACAGGCCAAATGGTCTCCTTTTGCTCTCTAAATGATTCTATTTTAAAAATTATTTGTTGGCGAATATTGCACTGGTTGTCCAAAACTTCAGGTTTATCTGAACTATCAAAAAAGTCAAAATCTTTAGCCTGAATAATTTACCTTCATAAAGCTGGAATATTCTTCAGAAAGTTATCAAGGACTTAGGGTACAGAATGGTTTGAACTGAAGATTGTCATCTTGACATTATTCGAGCAGAAAAGCTGAGCTTGTTCTCTCCACGGCAATCAAGGCTAAGGAGTGATTTGATAAAGGGGTTCAAAACTGTCATAGTTTCAACATAGTTTTGAAATAAAGTGAAACTTTTCAATGGGAGAAAGATAGGTAAATCTGGTTAAGGTAATTAACCTGGTAATTTAAGGTAATTGATGAAAGAAGCAAAGGCACAGTTACATAATTTCACACAGCAAGTTTTTGTGATCTGGAGTACACTGCCTGAATGGATAGTGGGGATGAATTACTTGCTGCAGTATTCCTAGCCTCTGACCTGCTCTGGCAGCCACTGTATTTATATTAGGACAGTTCATACATACGCCTTCTCTCTACCACCTGCAGCAGCCCTGATGTGGAAATTGGGATCCCGTCTTCCTCCTCAGCAACAGCAATGTGAGACTCAGAATTAGCTGACTCGTCTTGACCCTTTGGTTTCTTTGGACTCTGTTTGCTTTTGTCAAACTCTCCTACTTTGGGAGGTGAGGGAAAGAAGAAAATATATTAATTTAAAAATGCATAAACATTTCACCCATCAATCCCACCTTCATTGCTCTAAAGTGATTCTAGGTTCACCCAAACCATCTTTTAAACTCCCTCCATGTCAATCGCTCTGGTCACACCATTTATGAAGTCGGTCTCATGCTTTCTTGTATATGTGTGTGTTCGGTGGGAACTGGATCATTTACTTATTTGATGTCAGAAAGTGACATGGGGATAATTGATTGTGTCTGACTTTCTCTGCAGAGAGAATTTATAAAACACTGTGATTCTGGTCAGCATATAATAGACCAAATTTATGTAAAGTGTGCACACATACAGAATGAATGCAGTTAGAGAGCTTATCTATACGTGTATCGAGTTTTGTGTGATTATAGATAATGAGCTTGTGTGGAGGGGCTTTTTTCAATTCAAAATGTGTGCTGTGTTAATGCATATATGTTGTGTGGGAAGTGTGTGTGTGTGCATTTGCATGCGTGCGCTTGCGTGAATATAGAGTGTCCATATTGCAGAAACCTCAGTGTACAAATCGTTTGTGTAAAGCAATTTCTGTCGGACTTGCCTCCATCTGGTAGGGGTGGTAACTAATTAATTTCTCAGCTCGTAACTCATTAAATATTGACAGCTGCTTTGGCAGCAAGAACATAATGGTGTGTTGCCAATATATAACTGCACTACATGGCATGAAGGAAAAGATCAAATATAATCCTCTCACATTTCAGTGATAATACAAAGAAACCATAGTAACAAAGGTTAAATATATTAAAGTCCAAAAGAAAAACAAATAAAACCACACAAAGTAGGATGATAAAAGCAGCAGTATACAAGACCAAATATATAATCCTTTTCTTCTGTACTGCTGATAAGGTTACTAGGAAGAAAATTTTAGTAATTTAATATTCCTTTGCCTCAGGCAAAAATTATCTATACAACTTACTAAACACGTAAAAACCTCTCTGTCTTTGTCATAATGTTAAATAGATAAGCTATAAATGTGCTTCAGAGTTTAATGAACATGTTATTAGTGCAAGTAAAATCATAATCCTTTAAGAACACCTTCTCTAAAGCATTAGCAGGTATTTATTGGTAAAATATGCAAAGGTTTGCAGTGTATTGGCTATTTTTTAAAACAATGAATATGCTAAAATTGTGAAATACTGAAAAGCACTTAAGGTTTGCTGATATCTGTGAAAAGAAAATATAGACATAGGTCCTTAGTACTTTTTATTCTAGTTCATAGATCATCAAATCCCTACTGTGTGGAAACAGGCCCTTCGGCTCAACTAGTCCACACTGACCCCAGAGCATCCCACCCACCCAGACCCATCCCCCTATAACTCACACATCCCTGAACAGTATGGGCAATTTAGCATGGCCAATCTATCTAGCCTGCACATCTTTGGACTGTGGGAGGAAACCGGAACACCCAGAGAAAGCCTACACAGACATGGGGAGAATGTGCAAACTCCACACAGGCAGTCACCTGAGGGTGGAACTGAACCCAGGTCTCTGGCACTGTGAGGTAGCAGTGCTAACCACCGTGCCACCCATAGTTAGTAAATGTCTGAGATATATGAAAACCCAACAGCACACGAAATACTCTCCAAACTCCAGGCTACTGAGAAATACGCATAGGCAGAATTTTGTTTACCTGATATAGAGCAAATATGTTCTCACAGAAACTGGAGTCGGCTGGAATTGAATTGTGGGAACATTCCTAATTTCCAGTGATTGGATTTCTCCCTCCAGGTCTCAATAATGAGGTATAATGGCTGGTCACTATCAAACGGCATCCTGGAGAACTGCAATTCACTGGGCCGAGGTACCAGATTTTCACACGTACCACTCATGGTTATACATACCTACATTTCCACCCCCAGATCTGTTATTTGGAGCCTTTTTGACCCCCAGAAAAATCTTCCTAATTTCAATCCTGTCTCCAAGAAGGTCACTGTTTGTTCCTCATTAAATTACATGGAAGCATGACCCCTTGCTACATGATAGGGGAGGTGCAGGAGGCATTGGCCTAGTGGTATTATCACTTATCTATTAATCCAGAAACACAGATAATATTCTGGGGATCCGGCAGATGGTTGAGTTTGAATTCAATTTTTTAAAAAGTCTGAAATTAAGAGTTTAATGATGACTAGGAAACCATTGTCGATTATCAGAAAACCCATCTGGTTCACTAATGACATTAAGGGAAGGTAACTGCCATCCTTACCTAATCTGGCCGAAAAGACTCCAGACGCTCAGCAATGTGGTTGACTTTTAATTGCCCTCTGAGCATTTAGGGATGGGCAATAAATATTGACCAACCAGAATTGCCCACATCCTACGTATGAATTTTTTTAAAAAGCAGACAGTAGAATTCTACGTGAATACGCAGTGTGCAGTACAGTTCATCATAAAATGTGAAGGATTTACTACCGTCCTCTGTCCCAATGTATGGGAGTGCACCGTACGATGAAGGACAAGCAGCAGTTGCTTGACTGTCTGCAACTTAATAGCGAAAATCATAATCTCTAATGCTGACAAACTGGTCTATGTCCAAAATGTTAACTTATAGAAATGGATCCAAGTTACAGGAAGCAGGCTATTAAGTCCACCCAGTGCCTGACAGCATTTATTCTCCAGGTCAACATGTGGTCCTAATCATATTTACCTGGATTGCTCCCATTTCTCTTCATGAAGCCATCCAATGTAATCTTGACTTGCTGGAAGTGAATTTCAGTCTCACAACTCTCTAAATGCAACTCTCTTGTTCTAATTCTATTACAATTAATCTTGTATCAACAACTAGTTCTAGACCACTCGATTACTGGAAATATTTTCTGTGTGCTACATACTCTCCAATGGTTCAAAACCATTTCTGATATTATTCTGTAATCTTTGTTATTTTAATAAAATACTCCCATTTTTAAATTAATAATCAAATTTCTATTTCCTCATAGCAGGCAATATCCAACAGAACCTGTATTGTGTTCTCACTGAGGGCTTAATGTCATTGCTAAATAGTGAGGATCCCAATTCTACATACCAGTCTTATTAAGATTCTACATACATTTATTGTTATTTATGGTTTGTACCTCTAGTGCTAAAGATTTTTATTGACTTTGTTTACTGTCTCATCTACCTGATTTTTCATCTTTATTACCCTGTGAACCTGTGTGTCCAAATCCCACTGCTCTTCCACAGCACTGAGTGCTTTCATTCAGAATGTAATGTTTGCCTTTCCTTTTTTCACCAAAATGTATCACCTCAAATCTAATGACAGTGACACTGAATTCCATCTGTCTTTCTTTTTAGCTTTTTCCTCATTTTGTCAATATTCCTTTACAGCTTCCTTTGGTCTACAAATGAGCTGTATTTTATATTTTGGTAGCTTCTGTAAATTTTGACGTCACTTTCCTTAAGACTGTATCCAAATTCTTAACATTCACAAATACATAGAGTAACAGAACCAACCCTAAACTGAATCCAGTGAAATGTCGCTATCTTAATCCAATGACTCGAGAAACCCTAGAAATCTCGTTATCTTAATCCAATGACTCTAGAAACTCTAGAAAGGAGAAACTGTATGGATAGGCTAGTTACCTACACACCTCAGATCTTCTGTAGGCTTCTACTTCATCAGCTAAGCTGCTTGCACAAAGCCAGTACAAATATGCAGCTTAGGATTCAATGATACCAATTATAACTTTAACTCCAGCTTGGATATGGAAGCCATTACAGTTGCTTGCTTGACTGAACCAAATCAGAAGATCCAGACTTAAAGAGAGTGAGAAAAATATATGTTTTTCTTTGTGGAGATAGAAGATCCCCACAAGGGAAGACTAGATCTTTCCAAACTGTTGCTCTCTTTTTGGCAGGTATTAACATCAGGCCTTTGACAACAAGGTGCAGGGCTGGATGAACACAGCAGGCCAAGCAGCATCATAGGAGCAGA